AAAGGGTATGCTCTGATCATGTTCTTTGAATTTAATAAGAGCCATCTATGTATATATTGTGTTTGGCTGTCCACCATACCAGAAGATGAAGTGAGAATCAGCCTTTATGCTTTTACTGTGTCCCCTTCAGCTTAAAAGTGCACACAAGGACTAATTAGATAGTGTGGAATTGGGGTTTTGATTATGCACACTACCTTTTCTTAGTCTTTTGCCCCCGTCACCAGAACTCCTGTACCCAGGATTCATTGCTGAGGAAGAGCCAAATGCATTAAACAGGTTTATCATGTAGAGATGTGGCAACCTGAAACTGTGAAAGACATCCAAGGCTTGTGTGCAAAACCAGGTTGCTCTGATTCGAGAGTTCCAAGTTAAACAAAATGCAGGTTTTTATTGCCACCTGTACTGCTCTATTTTAAAATCTTCCTCAAATCTACCTCCACCTAGTATTAAGCAGTGGCGTATGTGTTAATGTAAGCATTTTTATTTGCAAAATATTCTGCAGCCAAAACCAACAGCTGAAAATCTCTCTCACCCCCAGTCACTCTTGGCTGTTGAATTATTGCCTCTGTGAAAATATAAAACATTTCAAAACTGAGTTTAGTGAAGCAAGCTGATCTAATTGGAGTAATTGCAAGAAATCTGGACAGATTTATTCTGTCACATCAACCATATATACATACAACTTGTCTCCACAGACAGACACAAGTCCCCAGTGAAGAAGCAATTATTTTCATGTTTGTCATCAGTGTGGAGCTTTTCAGTTTTGTTAAATTAGATTTGAGTATTTCAGGCTGAAAATAGGACCAACAAAATTACTACGTACAAGTTTAAGCTACAGCTGCTTTCTTTGCTTTGGAGCACATACTGAAATCTTGACCTTGCAAAACAGAATTTTTGTCAATGCTATGTATCCTGCCTTTCAAATGAATGGCAACCTTCATTACAGATTGAAACGAAATCTGTTATACCTGCTGGTCTAGCTGTCACAGATGGAATCTTTAACGATTTGCATTTATATTTATTCTGATTCTTTAATCTCTTGTCCTCCCCGCCCCCAAATCTTCCAGGGTGGTGATGTTTACACACTGATGCCTCAGACAGACCCTTCAGAGTGTGCGAGCTGCCGGAACTGTAGGAACAATAATAGGTAAATCAACCAGAGAAGGGAGAGAGACATGAACATTAGCTTTCTGGGTTTCAGTTACTTCAGATCATTCATCACAATTATGCATTTTAATAGTTTTCATGCAGAGATACTGTATTCCTGATGTTTGTTCTAGATTTATTTACCATTCCTAAAAGGTGCTTTGTTTTCTGGAAATAGTCAGTCTAAGATTTTGCCATCTCATCTATGACTTCTTGAAATTCCTTAAATATTTTTAGTGCAGAGCAAACTTTATAGTACCACATGGCAGGACAGTTGTGCAGGATATGTCTCTTCTCTGTCTGCTGCACAGTTTAGTATGAGACCTCCAGCTTAAGAGCTGAAAGGTTGGTAGATAAAATAGGTCTCTGAAATTGAGAACCAGTTTGTTCATAATAAGAGTATGTTTGTGTGATGCAGGGCAGGTTCCATGGCAACCAGAAATCCAGGCTTTATAACATAATCACCAGGTATATCTGAACACCATTCAGTGCCACAATGCTCTTTGCCACCATTAATATCACATGTATTTTTCAAATCACTCCTTTGTGGACAACATGCTGTGAGATTTCTTAGTGGAACAATTAATTCCTTATTGTATGGAATAAATAAGCTCATACATGTACATATAGAGGTATATAGAATCCTGTGATGGTACATACTTTGCTAAGTGGCGTATTTTGCAAGACTGAGTAGAATTACATGATCTTGGCCTAACTAAATGCATGTGTCCCCCAAAGGAAGCACAGAAGCAATCCTCAGAACTTGAACAATAACTGCCTTTATCCAGTCCTAAGCCGTAGCCAAGTACAAACTTATGCCCGGTTCTTGAACCAGATTTGGGCAGACTCATTTGAACCGTTGTCATTTCAAATAATATTTAGATGTTTGTGAGGCTGTGGAAAAAGAAGACTTTCAGGAACACCAAGATAATTCGGGTGTTTAGGGACTCCTTGAATAGGGAAAGATAATCAAATTATGTATATCTGGTATACGAGCATTGCTGGATGTCTTAATATCTCTTTTGTAAAAGGTGCCCAACCTGCTTCCCTTCCCTGACCTACAAAATTCTAGAAACTGTTACAACAAAAGCCAATTAGTTACTGTGCCGTGTGTGCTCGGTGCTCCTGGATTCTTTGGCTTTTCCTTTCTAATGGCAGCTGGGATTCCTCCAGGGAAACTCAGCTTTCAGGAATCGTTCTTTGGAGGCACAGTGGAGAGCAGGATTCACAAATGCCAGTGTGTGGGTGGAAGCTCAGGCAGCCTTTCTTAAGGTCGCTTCATTTTACAGCTTCCTATCAGCAAATCAGTGGCCGGCTTGAAGCGTGTGGCTTTCTTGGGGAGCACGCAGAATGCCCAGTGTTAAGTGCTCGGGCACTTTTGGTCTTGGCTGACTCTTTGGGCCTTTAGATCAAACAAACCCAGTGTTTACAGTTCAGGGCTAACATTTTACTAGTCAGACTGTTCAAAATAAACCTGAAGGAATCATTCTACTTTACAGAAGATAAAACATACTCCTTGTGTCACTGTATATTTAGAACTTAGTGGCTTGTGGTGTAGAGGAAAACTCTTCATGCAAACCACATTTAAGTTTGGGGCAAAATGTCGCCAGGTTCTTGCCCCTCAGTATAAAACAAACACAAATGTTTTTGTTCAAGCCTCTTTTAATTTATTTTCTATCACCTTAAGTAAGCACATTTTTAAAAACAAGTTGTACTGTAAAGTTCTATGGTGGCTTCATGTTGTCCTTTGTAAATTTTCTTGGCATTCTTGCTACACTAGCGTCTTAGCCTTTCTGTACGGAAGACGCATGCAAAGGCCACCCCAGAACTGTACAAGCAGTGCTTGTAGTTGCCTGTGTTCTGAGTCATTCAAGTATTTAGATCCTTCTTAGTGCAGACACAAACTTTTGCTTTAATTCCTAGCCCCCAGCATTCTATATATTCAGTGTGGATTGTAAGCTAAACACGATGCGCCGCCTTCCCAAACAAAAACAGACCAAAAGACAAAACAGACTGTGAACTGGTAGTTCGGTCCCGGCTATACAAAACCAGGCTGAAGGTTTGGAAATGTTGTTTAAAATTTCTCAGAGAGAGCATTTTCTCTCTGTTGGCTCTCAGCCAGCAAAACTTAGACAAAAATAAGCTTCTTGCAACAGAGTGGCCTTTTTCATCTCTACAGTGCCAAGTATGTTGTTGGCACTGTATAAATAATAAAGCATTTCTAATTAGGATTATGATTCTGCTTCTGTGGATGAAGAAAGTTCCACATAACAAAATTTCATTTTGTAAAGCTAAATATTATGTAGCTTTAGGGTATATTTTGACAGCCATTGACATTGAGTGCTATGGTTGCCAAGGAATAATCTGAGACAGAGTTACATGTTAATTATCTCCTTCCTATGAGTATTATGGAGAGCAACCAAACCATAACATTCATGAAAAGTGAATAAATGCAGGGAAAGTATACACCAATAGTCTCCCTCCCGCCCATCTTGTTGGTGGAAGCTCATCTCCCATGTCTTGTTTCAATCTCTTGTTCTAATTCTGTGAGCTGCGTCCGGGTTTAGTCATGCATCAAATAGATCCATTGAAATCACTGGGACAAGTTAGTCATGACTGAGTCTGGATCCAATCTATTATTTTTAGGCTACTACCAGGCCTAATAACCCCTGTAAACATGAGTAAACCTCACATGAATGCCAGGATATAAATGCTGTATTAGAGGTTGAAATGAGTTATCAGTATAACGGAACGGATCTGCTATTTCAGTGAATCATATCATCGTTCAGAGGCACACACCTTACTCTTCAGAGGCTTTGTGTCACAAACTTTCAGCTCGTGTGACTGCCCTAAATAGATTTGGGTGTGATGTATTTGTTATCTACAAATGAGATCTAAGTGTGTGTTAGCATTTCTGGGAATATTGCAGGGTGGGGGGGGGGGATAACTGCCTTAGTGTCCTTGGAAGTCAGTTTTCCAGCTGCAAATATTTATAGCACTGGCAGTTTCCCAACCCTTTGGGTTAGTGCTGGGCATATCTACAAAGGATTTTTCTGTAAGCTGCCTTTTTTTTGTTTTTCAATGACTAAGTAACTTCAGCTATAAAGAATTGACTTCCTTTCCTGCTTGACTAGCCTCTCACACTCCAAATGAGAGAGAATTATTGCAAGGTCTGTTCTGGGAAGATTCGGAAAACATGTTCTCACTTTCTAGGTTTACAATGGTGAAGGATTGACTATTGAGTGTAATTGCTCTATCAGCAGCACTTTAATAGGGTGAACGTTACAAATTCAAAGAGCAAGCGGGCACTGGAAGTCACTAGTTATTTTTCCAAAGTTTTCTCAGCAAGAATGTCCAAGACAGCCCTTGACAACCAATAACAAAATAATTGTGTGTATTTTATTGCTCGGTAACAGCATTACTGGTTTTATTTTCCATGTTTTTGTTGGGGTTTTTTTTAGGTGTTTCTCTAAAACCAGTGGCACTTTTGGCAACAGCACTGCCCCTGCAATGCCCATCATAGCACCTTATCAGCAGGACAGTTTGGAAATGAAACCATTGAATCATGTGATGGTTGCTATGTGCTTCGCCTCCACAGTCCCAGGATGCAGCATGGAGAAGGAGGAAGACAGTGAGGAGAAGGTGGCGCCCCCGTCTCCTCAGGACTCCTGTTACCAAGAAAATGTGAACCCGCTCAGTACAGATTGTGTAGAAGGTAGGCCAGAGTTTGGGGAAGGCGAAAAAAGAGTTGGCTCCTAGACAGTTGCTGTTCATTTACAACCAGACTATCTTAGCTTGACTGTACAGAAACCCAGATCAGTCTGAGATCAAATACTTTGGCATCTTGTAACTCCCTATCCATGCAATGGAAGTTTGTGTCGGTGCCTTTCAGGTGTTTTGCTGAATTATGAGCTTCTTTTAAAAATATGGATTTCATCCAATATTGCCTTAGATTATCTTGTGATGATTGATTTATTCTAATTGCTGTGCTAATTTATTTAAATCTCTGCCAGGACCACCTTCAACTGTGCTATTATATTTCAACAATGAAGATTAATCGGGCTGAATACTTAGGCTGCAGGACAGGGGGGTGCGAAGACACTGACGAGTCAGCCGGTGGCATTCTTGCTTCTCAGCCTGCCAGGGCTTGCATGGCACCTTTTGGGGTGCTGATCCTTGCGTTGCAAAAGTGCCAGGCAACTGGATGCTAATAGCTCCGTCTTGATTTGCAGATAACAGTGCGCATTCGGAAACATCCAATCATGTGTTGAGCTGGAGCTCCCTTATTCTTCAACCTCTTTCGAAAGATTGTAATGAAAAGACCGAAAGGATTTCAAATGGCGCTGCATTAGACAGCCTGGGGGGCCTTCAGCAGCTGCAAATACAAGAGACTTAAGAAGCGTCTTCCCCCCCACCCCACTTAAAGCCAGTAACTGCACAGCAGAGTCGCTCAAAGGGACTGACAGCAGGATGTTAATTATAAGAATTGCTATTTATTATTATTTTTGATGCAGTGTCCTATGAATGTATGTTTTAAAGCCTTTTCATATTATTTATGCCTTGAGAAATTCCTCCTACCCATCCCAGGATGAAATCATTGTGACTGTCTGAAGCTATGTAGTAATAATGGGGACCGTATCAGTGCCTTTCTTTGACAGTGGTCACTGGAAAAATATGATTGCAGTGAGGTATAAACATTAGAAAACCTGTTTATTGGAGTAGTTCAAATCCAAATTGTTCTGTGGCTTGTCATTTGTACTTTCGGAGTATAATCCAACAGGTTAGTCCTATGCAAATGGAAACAAAGCAATTTCATTCTGACCATTATAATGTATTAGTGAAATTGACACCACCTAATTCTAAAGAAACCTAAAATGAAACAATTGCATATGGAAGCATAGCAGTCTGGACTCGCTTACGGTTCTTAGTGCTACATGACCAATTACAAGCCTACAGTGAGGATCATTTAAGTAAATCTAGTCAAAGGATGACGTGATGATTTTTAGCAGATAGATAGTATGTATGGAATAATAATAATGATATAAAATTCTTGCCATGGTAATTCCAGTTAGCAAGAGGCACAAAATAGACAACATAATGTCACTGCAGCAAGCATTATTGGAAAAAATATATCTAGCCTTTACTGCAGGGTGTGTGGAATAGTTGAGCGTGGGTATTTTATACCCGTGCCCATGCTGCCATTCTAAACCTTTCCTTCTCCCCTGCTCCATGTTCCTGTAATGTGTACATTGCGTGCTTCACCCTTCTTGGATTGGGTTAGCCTGTTTTAACCACATTGTGGGGTACTGTGCAAAACAAGTCGGGCAGGAGAGGTAAAGAACCATGTATGTGTCCATGATATAGGAAAGCAGCTGCAATTGTGCAGGATTGGAAACGAGGCCTCTTCTGCAAAGAAATCATGGTGTCTTTATCTGGCCATAGTTATATTAGATAGATAGGTTCATACATGCAATCCACCTTTCTAAAAATTCTAAAATGGCAGGTGAGAGGAACAAATGGCCAAAATGCAAGGAGTTCTGGAGTATCGGCCCAGATTAATCTGGGAAAAAAATGTTTTCTTTCTTTTTATCCTTAATCACAAACAATATGGCACTAATCAGAGAGAAGTTTCAGGAATGAGTTACCAGTTGCACACATGCCTCTGGAACAGGTTGCATGAGCACATCCTACAAATCTATTAAAAACTTCCATACTTCACCAAAAATTGGTCAAGGAAAGGGTTCTTATTTTGCCTGCTTTGTAAATACACTGGAGCATGAAACAATCAAGTGTAGATTAAGGCCGCTGACGAAATGTGTTATCACTACATTTTGTTCATTTGATTTAGAATATAAGCTTCAAAGTGGAGTTCTTTGCCTTGGGCTTTCCAAAAATTACTGCAATTTTACTGTACTTTACCTTGGAAGATGGGGATTAAAGTAGGACAGCTGGGAGAGAGATGTTGCAGGAGGCTGTCTATCCCTTTTTCAGGCCTTTGGAGAATCTGTTCATCTAGTTGCACCCTGCACTATTAAAGTGTGGTGTCAAACTTGCCACTAAGTTGTACAATAGCTGTATATGCAGCTTTAAGAGAGCTGCCTGTATTCCTCAGAAAAAAGCTGAGGGTGTAATTGCATGCTGCAAGGCTAGCTGCATGTTTTTCCTCCTCTCCCAGTTTTAACCGGCATTAACACACACACACACACACACTATCTCTCTCTCTCTTGTAAAATACCTTCTCTGGGAATAAGAGGCACATACTTTTGTAATGTAATGTACAATTACCCTACAGCAATATGAATTCATTTTCTTAGCTGGAGCCAAGAACTAGAAACAGCCCCTGTGTGGAGAGCAGGGGATTGGGCAACCTGCCCTAGCAGACTTGGAGAGAGGAGGAAGCGCCCACAGGTGCAATGCGCCACACTTAGTAGTGTATGCGTGCGTGTGTGCGTGCGTGCATGCGTGTGTTTGAGAGCGAGAGAGCAAGAGAGATTTTAAAAATCGGGCTCTGTATTTTTATAACTGTTGCAGCAAATGTCAAATGCTGTGTGTGTATATAGTGTATGATTATTTTATATAATATATGATGTATATTATATAATTTTATAAATAAGGCTCCCTAATGAGAATTTGCAGTGTTTATCTGGTTGCTATGCAAGGACACCTTTCGGTAGGAAATTAGTATACAAGATTTGATTTGGTTTATGGTTAGACCTACTGCTGTGCATCTGCACACTTATTTTGACGGTGCTTTTAGCCTGCAAAGAAATTACTTCAAAGTCACCATGGAAAGGGAGTCACATCCCTGTAAGCTAAGTTTGGCCTGTTTAGATGCAGTGTCACAGCTGATTTGGGCATAAATAGGTGCCTTTTCAGGAAGCAAGAATGTGAAAATACTTTTGATGTAAGAATGTAGGGGGTTCTGGCGTCACTTCCATAAGATGGAGCCACTTTGATTCAGGCAAGCAGTATGAGTCATTAAACTGGGAGTCCTATTTGAAGACTGGGAAAGAATCTGTAATATTAGCAGAATCTCATCAAGGACTGCTTTATTTATATTATGTTACACTGTTTTAAGTGTTTTCCCTTTATTGTATTTTATTTATAAAAGTTATATATTGCCTTTATATTTTAAGGGGATCATGCATTTCTCTTCAATCATAAGTATGTATGAATCTTAGAGAACTTATGCAGGTGACCAAGTTTCTCAGATCCACGTGCTCACTCACTTTCCACACTCACTTTCCACTCTCAAATTCTGACTAGTTACTTCTGTGCAGAAAACAGTACCAAAAAAAAAAAAAAATCTTGATTTTGCCTCTCCTGAATTACGACCCTGAGCATCCTTCTTGGTAACTGGTTAAGTTGTCATTGTCCGGAGTTTGCTATGCACAATGATTTTGTCAGCCTCTCTAAAGACCGCCTAAGCACTTTCATGAGACCTACAGCATCTTATTTAAAATCTTCAGAATACCAGCTCCTTAATGTTTTGAATCCTTATGCTTACACTGAGTGCTTTTGAACCTGCTAAGCAAGCAGAAGCCTACATTCCTTGTTTCTTGATAGTGTTTTGGCCCTTATGAAATTTCTCCTGAATGACCGCCCTACATTTTTCTCATTCATAAAATTCACTATTGGAATATGATGACAGCGGAGTAAGTGCTGCATTTCTGTCCTCAGTTTTTCATAAGTCCAGTCTCACGAAAAAGATACGAATTATGCCAGTTGTTTGGAACAAAGTCAGAAAGTCGCCCTGGCATTTTTGTCCCGAATTTTAAACTTTTCCTTTGGTTCACCCTTGGGTCTTTGACTCTTTGGGAATGATTTTGACAATTTATGCATGAGATGACCTGAGCCCCAGCTATTTATGATTACGCAGCAGCTGCCCATGTTGAGCTTGTTGCCGGCTGCCTGTTCTGCCATCACTGCAGCCTGCTCTTTGCCTCAGAAGGACTTCAAACTTGCTTTTAATCTCCATCCCTTCCAGAATATGCAAGTGTGACCTCTTATGCTCAAATTGGCACGACTTGCAGGAGGACGTCACCAGCACGAGTAGCTTCTTGAGCTTCAACTATATCTTTTCTTGAGCAATTTTTCTTATGGTACACAGCCGAACCACACAAAGGTCCTATATATCAAAGTCTCGCCTTCCAGTCCTTGAAAAGTCACTTGGCTAAGTAAAGTATTGCTGTCTAAGCAACAAGTGTTCTTATATATGTACTTTTGTTTTGCAAATAAATGATTTAAAGATGCATGTTTTTTGTATTATATAGAAGAAATACACTATATTTTCCTCTAAAGGTTGTAATATTCTTATTGTGCAAATGTTTAAATGTAGTTTTGGGCAGGATTTTCATTGTGTTTTAATATTAAAGAGAATGCTGCTGCTTTTATCAAATGTCTAGTGTAATTACTTCTGAGGTCTAGTATTGCAGACTTCCGGGATTTAAGTCAGAGTTCTTCAGAATTGGTATTACCTGGTACATTGCCTAGAAAGTTATCAGAGTTTTTTTTAAGACTACAAAAGAAAAAGCACAGAAACACATTTTTCAATATACGTGCATGTCATAAATGAAATGAATAAGCGAATAAAGAAATTGTCAGGGAATCATGATTCCTTGTTGGAATCATTTAGAATGAACAAAGATGGGTGAAAATGCCATGAAAATGTACAGCACACTTTTCCAAGCACTGATGCTCGAAACTGCAACTGATCATGGCTTTGCTAATTTGCAGGAGTTCATTGCAAATTATCCCTTAAGCTAGCTAGTGGTCGGTGCGACAATCCCAGCAGCTGCCTTTGGCAGATCCGTAGTTCCTTAATTCAGACCCTTTGAGGGGATTCCTATAAACTTTTAAGAGTGGCAGGAAAGCAGGTGCGATATTGTTTCTCCGCTGCACATAGCTTGGGTAACACTATCAGTGGGAAATACCCATGCACCTGGCCGGAGCTGGGAGTCTGCAAATGTGACAGAGACCTGTATGGTGGCAATTTGGCCAGGGCGAGCTAAACGTCTCAAAAGTGGACTGCCATTTTACCGTGACATGCAGTTTGCAGAGGATTTTGGCCTCCAGGGCCAGATGCAGACTCTGTGCATGTGGGAGCAGGGTATGAGAATTGGCACAAAAAATCCGTTACGTACTGAAATGTAATAGCTAGCGGGGGGGGGGAGGGGGGGCAGAATGAATGCAGCTTCCCACCAGTCCATTAGACCAGCTGGTGAATCAAATGGACCTTGTTTGCTGAAGAGGCTGATTGTTCCAGTTGCTGAGGGGTGCTGAATCACTGGCCTCAGCAATGCACTGACAAGAGAGGAGAATGCACGGATTCCACGGCAGATGAGACAGGACGGATGTTTGCTGGGCTGGCAGTTCCCACAGCATTGCTGACGGTCCTCTTAGGAGACAGCGGAAGGAATGTGTCCTGCGGTAAAGTAGCTGTTGACATGCCATCTACAGGCACTGGATTAAAAGGAAGAGAGACCACTCCGGTGAGGTCAGCATTTCTGTTAGCATGTGTGATGCTGCCGCCTTTTCCCATGCACTCGAACAATGAACAGAGCAAACAGCTTTTTCTTCCGTCGCTTCCTCTGCCTTCCTCTTCCATCAGCTCGCTCCTATTCCACTGGCTAAGCCCGGGGCTTCCACAAATCATCTCCACAGCTGACTCTATCTTGTGGAAATGGCTGCCTCAGTAATGGGGGAGCTGCTGACGAGGGGGTTAATTCATATATCACACCCACCTTCATATCTTGAAAAGCTGGTTAAAAGAGGCTCATGAAGGACAAGTGTCAGAAGCCTGTGCTGCCCAGGTGATGCTGGACTCCAGTTTCCATCATCCCCAGTCAACATGGCTGATGGTCAAGTGTGGAGGGGGTTCTCCAACAACTAGAAGATAGCATAGTTCCTTACCCTGATGACTGGTCTATTAAGCCATAAACAAAGTTTTATGTTGCTGACAGTATTATAACCGTGTGACCCAGGAGACCCCAACCCCTCCTCCCCACTCTGTTTCTGCCAATGTGTCCCAGGGATTTCTTCATCAATCTAGTTTTCTCGTATGTTGCGATTTCTCCAGTATATAGATCCATTTGTGCTACTCTTAGAGTACTGTTCTGGAGCCCCTGGGCTGCAGAGGGAGAAGGAAATGCCCCATCCTGGCTTCAGCAGAACAGCAGCAACCCAGAGATCCCTCCACTACTTCCCTGCCTTCTTCACAGCTGCCCCCACCCCATGGTGTTCCCTCTCTACTCCACTGCCTCCTCCTCAAAAAAAATTGCAGTCTTTTCCAGGTTTCCTGTTTGTCTCCTTTGCCCTCTTGCTCAAGTCACCAACTGAAATGCATGTCTGCTCAAAAGTCAGTGAGATTATCTTCCATGGCCTTACAATTAAATCACACTGACTCCAGTGGAATCAACCCATGGAAGGGACTGGCGGTGCTTGCTTTTGGGCCGAGGGGAAAGCAGGTGCTGGTCCTCCTGGCCTCGCCCCATGCAAGATGGAAGGAAAGGTGCAACAGCACCACCCCTTACGTTTTCCGTTTCCAACGTGATTTTTGGAAGGGGGTGGGAGGAGCTCTCTTTCTTTGTTTTTCCTTTTTAAAATATCTCTGCACTTTCTCTCCTTTGCATCTTTGCATAGCTAACTGAGAAAAAACAAGCACAAATGCACCTTAGAACCATATGGAGCCATTTCCATGCTCATGCACCCTCTCCAGCTCCTCCAGCTTCCACTGCAATTGTATCTCTGTGTGACAGAAGCTCACATTTTAAGCTGTACTCATTAGCATGTGCCCCAACTGTAATAAACCTGTTTTGCATAAATACCATGACTGCAGTCTTCCATAAACAAAAGGAGCTCAGTGTGCATCTCTCCCCGTGGGCATTACAGAACGGGCCAGAGCCCAGGGATGGAACGCTTCCAGTTTTGCATGCACAGAACATGGAGCTGGAAGCCGAGCTAGTGAGGAGAGGACAAACCAGCCCAGACAGTTACCGACTGTGCCTTGTTCCAGCCCTCCTCACACTTTCAGTTTTGCTAGTTGTCCTGTCAGCCTACCCTTGTGTCTCTGGATGGGCCTTTTAAATGCCAGATTGTGCAGAATAAGAACTCTCTCATTCACAGTGAAGGAAGCATTCAATCTAGCCTTATCACCAAGAGCTGGGTGGGTGAATGGAGGTGAGCTAGGCACTCCCGAGCGGTACTTAATCAGGGCAGACTTAAAGCCTGGGGAGAGAGGCACTGCAGTGTGTAAGACTTCTGTCCAATTACTAGCCTGGAGGCTTTGTACCTTGGGCTGGGCTAGCAGGACAGACCGGGCACTTCCTCGGGTACCATCCTTCCCACGTTTTCCAGGGAAGATGCTCTCAGGCATGATGCTGGGGTCGGTTTGGGGGGGGGTGTCAATGCTCATGCGGTGGGGCCTTGTCTGGAGTGGCTCAAGATGGCATGGCCTCCCTGACTGCCGTGGGACTGTCCCAACATGTCACGCTCCCAAGACATTCCAGCTTCCTCAGCGGGGTGGCCTCGAAATGCACCTGTCTGCTTCTCTCATCACCCCTAGCCAGCACGACCAGGATCGGAGCGCCTCGAGTCCTGGCCAGCCGGCCGGCCGGCCGGCCAAAGCGAGATGGTGCTGTCTAGAGAGGGCTCCGTGCCGGGGGTGCCTCGGTTCGTGGTTTGCTAACTCCTTGGTATGTCCATCTGTGAGGCAAAGCAGCAACTGTGATTTGTTTCACTGAAAGGGCAAAAGTAAACAACACGTGTGAGGCAGATTTTCCACACTTTAATGTTGCGTGCCTGCGGGGTTTGTCTGCATTGTCTTTGGCTGCCAGCCATTTGCAGACTCCGATCGTGCCTGAGGAACACAGGCAGCTGCCAGCGCTGTGCGAGGAGCAGGACGCGGCAGAGACGCAGCTCCCTGACGTGGGCTGAGCGGTGGAGCGCTGCCTCCCTGCCAAGGGTGGGCGAGCTGCGTGGAAAGTGAGTGGGACGGAAGTGGCACCGAAGACGGAGAGCAAGGCTCGGGTCCTCCTGTCATTCTAGAATAATCATGGAAGCCTTTTTTTAGGGATTCTTTCTGAACTTATTTTTTACTCTAATAACGGAGCACCTGGAGCCCTCACCTCAAACCTTTTGGGGTCCCCGGATCCTCTCTGATGCTATGCCAGACTGATTAGCCCACCTTGCTCCGTGGGGTCTGCACCAAGAGCTGGCCTTGCGGCAGATGTCTTTTTACTCGCCATTAACAGGAAATGTCAGGGACTGAACCTGGGGACCTCCTGCATTTGACGCACATCCTCTTTTAGAGACACTGCAGTTCTGAAACGGATAAGAATGAGGATCCATGGTGGAAGCTAGCGCACATCTCCATGGGTCCACCCCAGCCTTCTACTTGAAGAAAGCAGCAGAACCCAAAAGAAAGGTGGTGGTGGTTTGGAAACAAGGCCCTGGGAATTTTCAAGCTAGCAGGAGAACTGCAAAGGAGAAGTAGAGATAGATGATGATGATGATGAGGAGGAGGAGGAGGAGGAGGAGGAGGAGGAGGAGGAGAGGTGAATGGAAAAAGTGTAAGCCAAGGGAAGTGTTCAGATGACCTCCCCAGCCCCTCAAGCATAAGACCTGGTTTCTCGCACTGAATGTGTGCCCCCTGGAGAAATGGTCCCTGGTTGGGACTTTCCAATTAGGAATTACTCCTACTCTGCTGCTGCTCTATCCTGGAGGTTTGGCAGAACTAGCCAGCCTGCTCCAAAGAACAGTGTGTGTGTGGGGGGGGGGGGTGTCATTTGGGAGCCCAGGATGAGCAGAGTTGTCATTGCCATTTCGTGAGATTAGCAAAAGAGCCTGCCTTGCCCTAGCAGCCCAGTCATCCTGATTAGCCGGAGCTTGGCCTCGGATGCCTGCCGTCCATGAAGATGAGGAGCCAGTGTGCAGAGACAGGCCTGTGGCAGAGAAATGTTCCCTGCCCCATCCTTCAATAGGTCATGCCATGAACCAGGTCATTCATGAACTTGTACATGCCATGAACCAGGGGCTTATAAAGCCACTAGTGTCTGCTTGGATGAAAAATAAAGCACCCCACTGAATCAAACTCCAAGCCAACTTGAGATGCTGCAGGAGAAGGGTAAAGAGGCCAGGTATGTCCCACCAACTTATTTTTCCAAACACTTGCAGCTTCCTTCACCTTCTCCTAGGGAAAGAATAGTTCCATACCAGCAGCGCATCAGACAGATTAACATCAGTGACCCCAATCATTAGCATTTTGTTCTGCTGCCCACTTAGTATCCAAAAAGACTGGCATCCGTTGGATAACACGATCTGTCCCAGGTGTCCAAACTGAGGTCCTTCAACCTCTTCAACAAGCACATGCAAAAAGAAGGGTCTCTACTTAGGCTTCCGGGCCTTTACTTGGGTTGTTCCTGGACATGAAACCTCCCTGCCAGTTTTTACACAGAAGGAAGGAAGGATCCACTTCTCTGACTTTTCTGCCTGGAGGAAGGCAGCCTCCAGCCTTGTCACAGGCTCTCCATTCTTGGCTTTAACCAAAGGGCACTTAGATTGTGCAGCTCATGCTGAAGACAGCCTCTCCAAGATGGTCTTCTGCCCTCAGAAAAGAAAGAACAACAGAACCTGTGCTGGGAAAATCTTGCCTGATTCACACGGGAAGGACATCTCCTTCCAAGTTCTCCCTCCCCATATCACCATCCTCCGCAAGCCAGCATGGAGTCAGATTCGTGGTGATCATGGGGTCGCCGTCACCGTGATTGTGACATTAACTGGATCATCATCAACGGTTGTTGCAGCAGCAGGAGCAGGTTCTGGAGCAGAGGGTGGAGATGGGGCATCTTCTTGGGCCGCTGTAGGACCTTCTGGGGCCGTGATAGCTTCCTCCTGGCTGGCACCTGGAAAGACAGCAATTGCGTGTGAGTCAGTGGCTCGTGAGCCTTTTTGGGCGAGGTAGAAGACAGCCTGTCCCAGGGAGGGTGATCAAGCGGCCCCAGATGATCCTGCAGTGCGACTCCCTCCAGAAGCAGTAGGGGCCCTGCTGCATTGGGCCCAGGGTCCATCCACCCCAGCACTCTGGACAGCACATTCTAGGAAGGTGCCAGGACTGCAGCTTCTAAGACAGAAGGCATAAAGTCCATTCTTAAAGCATGTGTGTGTGTGTGTATGTGTGTGTGTGGTTTCGCTCCCCAGAAGGCCCATGGGAGTCTGCATTTTGCACCCCTGAAAACTAGGCAATGTCACGGATCCAGGAGCAGGCCTGCCAGCAGCTTACCTGCCAGTGTGTCACCAGTTCCACCTGAAGGTGCTCCGACAGGCTCATGGGGTTCACCATCGAAGTCTGCTGCTGTCTCTGCATCTTCTGGAGTGCTGATGTGCTCACGAGCTTCTGCACCAGCCCTGAAGAAAGGCCCATGGGAAAGACAGACCAGGAAAGGTGGAAGCTTAGCCAGAAACTGTTCCTTCGATGCTCAAGTCTTCTTGCCTAATCACATGCATGACCACACTCAGATGGTCTTGAAGAAAGGGAAAGGCTGGCTAGATACTTGTTTGCTATAGAATCATAGAATGGTAGGAGTTGGAAGGGGCCATGAAGGCCATTGGGTCCATCCCCGGCTGCTGCAGGACACCAAGTTACACCATCCCACTCAATCAATATCACGAACCTATTTTCATGTTGCAAATTGTTGTTGCAGCTCAGTGGAGAACTTAGGATAGCAGGGTCAGGGATTTTAAACAAATAAGAGGATATCTTATGAGTCCTCTTATATGAACAGAGACATGAGTGCCCTGGTAGGCAGAACAAAGATAAACTGATTTAAGATGCTGGCTGGGGAAAGCAGTGGAGCAGTCTTGGAGAGGAAGATCCCAGACTGGATCCAGAGGCCATCCTCTCGGATTGAACAAGCCAGCTTGAAAAGTAGAAAAGGGGGCACTCGAGTGCAACCGATCTAAATCATCATGGTGATAAAGGAAGGGTCCCCCCAACTTAAGTGGAATTCTCAAGGGATGGCACTTCAGAAGAAAAATGTTAATCCATGTGCCCGAAATGCTCTGTGACCCCCAGCTCTCCCACCTGAATGACAAATTTAGAAAGAGACAGACAGACGGACAGGAAGTATTTCCATGGCTGCCAATAAGAGGTTTACTGTGCACTCCTCATTCTCCTCCCATGTTCTTCTCTCTTTTTTTTTTAATGGTTTCTTAAGTAACATTGTGACCTTCCACTTTTGCTTCTGTTTTTAACAATCTCTGTTCCTAATCAGGAAAAGGGAACTTCAGTATTATTTCTGAAAGTGGAACCAACACATTTTCTCCACTTGTGCAATTACGTTATTCCATTACATCACAGCATTGCCTAGGGTTTACGCAGCGGAAAAGCGGGAACGAAAATGCTCTTTGAGGGATGGTGGAGAGCAGAAGCAAGGGGAGAGTTTCTGGATGCCACTTACATTCGGAAGAGCAGGTCGTGTAATCCTGTGGAACAATGCAAGGAGATCATATTTTAAGAACTCTTGTTTTACAAGCACAGCCAAATGAAAACCTGAGCCCCAGACAAACACCCATGCAGAGAGACCTTAAGAAAGGGGATCACACATGGTGCCCATCTCAATTCTCAAGGCAATTCAGAGTTTTTCTACACCAGGCAATGATGTTGCATTTGTCATTCCCTATTCACAGCTGTTTATGGGTTTTGAGACAATATTATACCCTTCCAGTTTCACTTCTCTGTCTAGAGAGCATTTTTGGGAGCTGCTGTATTTCTAAGGGTGTTTTATTCTGTTAGTTTTCATTTAGATGTATTGAATGGGAATAGAATGGAATGGGACGGAAAGCATTGCCAGAGGAAGAGAAGAAACCTAAATTCACCCAGGTTAATAGGCTGGGGGAACTTTTTCCCCAGCAGGATAAAAGGGCCAGAACATCGCAGAGCAATCAAAGCACCTCACTCCATTCTATTCCTGTCCAAAACGGTACAGTCCTGTTGCCTTCCTAAGCACCAGCAACTGTGCCCCTGCGTGGCTCTATTTTCACGCCTTTGTCTCTTTCTGCTTTACCTTCATTGGACGTCCCCTGTAGCTCCTGACCCACAGCCTTCATTCCCTGCTCTGGAACACAAAGCTTGAATAACTTCCTGCTCTAGGAATGACTTCTTGGGCTCCCTTGAACTGGCAGCAGAAAGAGCAAAACCGTCCGCCAACAAGGACCCACTCACTTGGGTTATTCGCCCGGTTCCGAACGATGTACTGAAACACCAGAAGGGACGCGACCGTCGCCACAATCATTCCTGCCGCTGCAGCACCGATCACGGCAGGGTAAGCGTTAAACGGAGGGTCAGCTGCAAGAGAAAGGAAGCCGCTGTTGAAGGCCTTGGGCTCCTTCCCGGACCGGAACTTCAGGACCCGATTGCGGTGGAGGAGATGGAGCTCTGCCGTGCGTTGAAAGGGCGTTTACGCCCCTTGCCTTCCTCAACCCGGTGCCCTGCACATGTGTTGGACTACAGGCCCCGTCGACCCCAGCCATGCTAACCGTGTATGGTGGGAGTTGTAGACCACCCTATCTGGAAGGTCCTCTCCTGTGCACGGAAGCAGAAGTGATGCTATAGAAAGGGGATGGGGATCCTGTAGCCCTCAAGATGTTGCACTGGAACTTCCTGACCTTTGGCCATGCTGGCTGAGGATGATGGCAGTTGGAGTCAGTAACATCAGGATGGTCACCTTTCTCTAGCCTTCTCCAATATTTTGGACTTAGCACCTATCATCGCCGACCACTTACTCTGTTGGCTAGTGACGATGGGAACTGTAGTACGAAACATCTGGAGAGCTTCGGTTAGATAAGGCTGGTGCAACCTGTGCTGTGCTGCCTTTATGTTGAGTTGTTGGGCTTTCTGTCACATGCCTACAGGCACCTGGTCAGCCACTTCACTGGAGCCAGGCAAGTCTGGGTCGGAAAGAAGGCCACTTACAAGAATCCCATGCATGCTGGCCTGAGTTTTGGATTGCCCTGTTTTGGATTATGATTTTATGGTCTTTACCATTTATTGCAAATGAATTCTCCCACCATGCTTCCAATAATGGATGTTCCCATGAAACAACCTTTTCCCACTCACCTGGCAGAGGGATCTAGGGTTGAAGCTATCAGCTGCCTTAAATACACAGTCCATCACCTTAGTATAAATGCCAGTTGAGAGTATTTAACCCCCCTTTGTCCCTGTAGGGGGCACTGGAGGTAAGTTGCTGGGAGGGACAGTTTGCATTTCCCCCACCCATGCACAGAAGACTCTGTCTAGACCCTGGTCCTGAAGACCTGGAGTACGCTAAACACAGTGGTGAGCACATTGTGCATTTACTGTTGCATGTAGGGCCTTTCTATATGCTTTTAATTTTAAAACCAAACGCAACACTCTTTTTCTTGTGCCTTTCTTTTATCTCCATTCTGAAATGATACCAAAAGCAGACGGAGTGTGGATTAACAGCCAACTGGCTGCCTTGGGCAGAAAACCTTGCACTTTTTCCTCAAGGGCACTTCATATCAGGGTTAGAAAGAAACTATTAAAACTAAAATGTGGGCTAAGATACAACTAGGCTGTGAACAGTGCAAGTTCGGATAATGAGATATTTGATTTCATGCAAATTGTACGGTGATGCCAAGTTGTGTTTAAGGCGAACCAAAACTGAGTTGAAGCGGGGCTAAAATGGACAAAAGATTCCTCCAGATAAAAACACTGCAAGCGCAAAAAAGAGGAGGCTCATTATTACATTGAAGCTAAAATGTGTTATGATTGAATGGCATGAATGGGGTCGGAGCAAGTCTAAAATAGGACAAGATGTCAAGATGCCTGAATCTACGGCATGGAATATTATAACTGTGTGGGGAAAATAAAAGAAAAAGGTAACTTTTCATCAGGTTCTTGTGGTTTGCAAACACATACAAGGAAAAGAAGAATTGCAAAGAGTGAAACTGTCGAGCTGGAACCAATTACCATATTTTGCATATAATTATTCCTTGGACTAGTGTGAATTCCAGTAATGAGACCACTTCATGGGATTCATTATCCACACTAACGAGGCCTGGCTGTTTGTGCAGCCACAGGAGAAAAGGATTTCGAATTCTGTTCGTGCAGCTTTGGGGAGAACCAACGGCACCGCAGGGAAAGGGGAACTGCTGCCGGGGTCCGTCTTGATCAGCGCTGGTGCTCCTGCTCCCCGCAGAGGAATTTAAGGCTACTGGGGATGGGGGTCAAGCACTGGGAGAGCCACGCACAGATCTGATGAGGCTCTCAGCAGCATTGCAAAGCCGGAGGATTCTTTCCCTGCGGAAGGAAACCCTCTGTGCGGCTTTGCCCAACGCCTCTCCTCGCTCCTCGGGGCAGGGGGTGGGTGCGGCTTCCCACTGATTCTGCAGCTCATCTGTTTCCAATCTCCTCAGTTTTTCCAAGAAAATAGTTTGCTTGTTTTTCTTGAGTGTTTCATTTTGGTTTTGCACCTTCTTAAAGCTGTCCCCGACCTGCACCCAGACTTGTTGCAACAGCTGCTGTCCATATGGAGAGGACAGGCAGCCGTTCCGGCTTGGCCTGGCGGAGTGAAGCCAAGACGCGCGGAGAATATGGGGCAAACGACAGGCGTGAGGGACCTCATGTGCAGCACCGCTCCTTCGCTGAACAAGTGACTCAAAATAGAGGCCTCTCTCCACTACATGACCTAGAAAAATATTGGTGTGAGTCACAAGCATAGCTGCAGGGTCACCACAATCCCATGGAACTTGCCTGCAGAACCTTATTTAACCTGCAGACCAAACCCAACCTGCTGATGGCTTGGTAGTTTTGCCCATTTCTTCCTCATTCGAACAGGTGGAAATGCCTCTCCTAGGGCTTTGTCACTGGCAGAAAAGGCTTTAAGCTAAAATACGCCAACATGTGGGCTATTTGAGCCCTTCGGGGTGCTCTGTTGTTTCTGCAGCCCATTCAGCACCAGATTATGTGCCCCTGAGCATCACAAAAACTGAGCTCTGCCCTCGTTCTGGAAGAGAGCTGGGACGCCTGCCATAGATTAGGGTTTTATGCCCAGAGCAGTCTAGCATACTGTGCAATCTCTTTCCTGCTCAGCACAGCACCACAAATGACAGCCTGGCGTGGATGAGCACAGCCAGTCCCAAACCAGAGACCGAGCGGCCATCTGGCCCCGGTGGTGCAGCGACCCTCGTGTGATGCCTCCGCTCCATGGCCCTGGCCCGCCCTCCAGAAAGCCACCATGGCACAGGCCACAGGCTGCGATACGGGGACTCGAGAGCACTGGGCATGCTGGAAAGAGGTGAAACTCTTGCTCCCTGCTTGCAGAGAATCACCTGGGGAGACCTCAAAGGGTTGCATTCAAAATGGGAAGTGTAACAGATGCTCTGCCCACTCCCCGGAAGTCAGGCACTGAGTGGGGCATGCAGGGAGCTCTGCCGTGGCATTGTCCTTATGCCAGATCCACAAAACAGCCGGAAACCAGCTTTTCCGTTCCTTTGCACAGGGAGCCCTGGAAATGCAGTTCTGTGGAAGGGGGCCAGAAGCCCCTAGCAAGGATTCAGAGTACCCCTCCAAAATACCGTCTTCTCAGGGAATGCTGTAGAAGCTACAACAGTATAACTGGCAGCAAATCTTTTTGGCACCAGGTTAGGACTATTTTATTTCTCCAGGTTGTATAGCTCCTTAGTTTTAAAAATTGTGTCATTGTCTTTTTAGATCTTTGCACTGCTGCTGGCTTTTATCTTGGTGACTACTTTCATTTTATCCTGCCTTCAGTTTATGGTTTGATATTATGTTTTACAACATTATTATATTTTATGGTTTTAAATGCTGGCTTTAAATTGCCCAGGCTAATAAATAGTTTGGACTTGTAATACACACATATAAAATAAATATATATTAATTAAAATCTAATTTTGCAGCGTATGCACATTCTTGGATGCACCAAGCCACCTTTTCCCTAGACTATCACGCACTCTTAAGTCCTTTTTATGTAATAGGATGCAGAGAACATCACAAAAGGTAGGAAGTGGGAACATGCCCAGCTCTGCATGGTCACCAGAACATGCTGCCACTCTGTACGACTCTGGTGCGCCCGCAGTTGGAGCACTGTGTTCCATTCTGGGCCCCTCATTACAAGAGGGATATAGCAAGGTCGGAATCAGTGCAGCAGAGGGCCACTAGGGTGGTGGCTGGCTTGCAGGGGAAGCCATATGAGGAGGGACTGGGGGAGCTGGGTCTTTTCAGCCTTGAGAGGAGGAGACCCAGAGGGGACCTGTTAGCGACATACAGGTATGTGAGGGGGTGTCACACAGAGGTGGGTCGTGACCTTTTCCCCCTGCAGTGGAGGGCAGAATGCATTCCAGTGGAGCAAAGCTCAGGGAACCAAGATTTAGTGTGGATGTCAGGAAGTTAGGACTCCTGGGGTATGGAATGGGCTTCCACGGGAGATGGTTGAAGCCCCAGTGGTGAGGGCGTTTAAGGATAGGCTGGACATGCACATAGTAGGCATGTCATGAGTGAAACCTGGGTCAGACCAGATGGCCCAGGAGGTCCCTTCTGACATGCTCTGTTTCTATGTTTCCATGCACATGTGCATCCTCCTTGCACAGCTGGGAGTCCCGCAACAAGCTTGATTCAAAGGAGGGCGTGCATCTCGTAGCAGATGATCAGGTCCTTTTTCTCCTGCAGAAAGGTGTCCTGCTGCTTCCACTTTGAAAGATTTTGCAGCATGAGCTCCATTACCTCAAATCCAGTCAAAGGGCAACCAGAGGTTTTCTGAGCAGTCCAGTCAGCCAGCCAGCAAAGGGATTTCTTTGCAGGGAGCCGGCTGGCAACTGTTATGGGAAGGTGGGATGCACTTTCCAGCAGCAGCAGCAGCAGCAAAAACAGGGTCAGGGGAGGAGGGCATAAAGTCATCCCCAGCAGGAAGGATTCACCACGCCATGCAATTAAGAAGAGACAGGAGCACACAAGAACGGCAACCCCGTCCAACCCCATCACATGCAATAGGCCCCCTTGACCCTGAACCCCTCCCCATGGTGGCATGCAGTCACCTCTGCCCCCAGCTCCACCGCCTCACACGGCGCAGCAAGCAAGGAAAAGGATGGGCAGCTGCATCACACCCACATGAGAAAACCAGGACAGCAACAGCAGGGTAGAATTCCAAGAGATTCCCCCAAAAGCAGAGGTCTGGGGATAAGCACTAGCAGAAGCATGTTCTTTCTGGTCTTTCCACACTCATGGGAACTTGGCTCCTCTCTGTTTTCACCTGACCTGTTGCTAACAAAGCAAGCTTCCTTGTCCCAGACTCTCCCCCCTTTCCCCCAGATGTTATAACCCACATCTGCTGCCAATGCTGGCTGCCAATGCAAGCTGCAAGCTGAGTGGGGAGGATGGGTGTTGCTTCCCAACACTTCCAGAGGGCACTACCTCAGAGAGAAAGGTTGCTAGGTATGGAGCAATGGTCTCATGATTGATACAAGGCCCTATCCCAGGTGCTCTCTGGGAGAAGAGCAGGGGGAGGTACCTCAGGTGGGAGGCAAGGCATAGCAGTTCCTCTCTCAACTAGAAGACATTTCCTTCCAACCTTGACCTCACAGGAAGGCTGTACTCACATCACATGAGTATGTGTCCGGTGTGCAGAGCAAGGTAACTCCCGCAGTGGCCTGCCAGAGAAGCTGGGCTAGTCCACCGTGCAAATACTTGCAGGATTAGCATCAGACCCACTGGGAGACACGAGAGGCTTGTCAAAGGCTTCCCGGTGGTGCTCAGCCTGGCTTCAACAATATGAGTTTTTGTGGTGGCTGGTTTGTGTTCCTAACTTGTTAGGTGCTGCCAGTCCTGCAGTGTCTTCCTTTGTGCCTTGACTCTCACCTCTTCCAGATGTTGCCTTCACCGCCTGTCCTGTCACACCTTTGCTGGTATCTGACCCTCGCCTGTTCCTGGCTCTGCTTCTGCCTCTGCTCCTGCCGTGCCTTGCCAGGTGTCTGACCCTTGCCTGAGAAAGGTCTGGTTCTCCTCCCATGCCATCACCCCAAGCCCTGGGTTCCTAAGAAGCCACCTGATGTTTCTGTTCTGGAGAGGACAGTTTGCCTTGTGGCGGGCTCAGGACTAAAGCACAGTTCTGTCTACAAGCATCTTTGTGCACGGAAGTTTTATCCAGATCCATCTCAGCATGAGCCTCTTTTGAACTAGAGTTTATTGGAATGTTCCACAAGCAAAGCTGCTCTTTTACCCCTCTGAAAGCAGCAAACAGGGCAAGACAAATTCACACGGCAGCCTCATGCATGCCAGCTTGCGGGCGCGTCCTCCTCTTCCAGGGCCTCTCCCTTCTTTAACTCTATTCCCCTCCCTTTTCTAGCTTCAGCATTCTCTGTGGATAATGGATGAAACCCTCCTATATTTACACAGCCCCACCGTGCAGCAGTGCCACCACCTCATGGTTTTGTGATGGTGCATACAAAGAAGGGCAGAGAAAGGGCAAACCGGGGAAAAGCATGTGCAAAGGAGCCAGGCTTAATCTCTCAAAGAAGCTGGAATCAGAAGCCAGAGACTCCTGGTGGGTCAAAAACATCTTGCAGAAAAGCCCCAAGAAGGCGTTGTGATCATACATAGCAACTGCCTCAAAGGAGCAGAAGGAAAAGTCTAAATTGTGGCATTGTTTCTAGCCTATCCTGGCAAGGCACACTGTATTTCTGTCTGCTAGGAAGAGGAGGAAGCACCTTGCCCCCTGGCAAGGTGGGCTGTCTTTCTGTCTGCGAGGGCCCCGTGTGCTCCCCACCCCGCAATGCCCAGCTGTCCCCGACGTGGCCCATAGAAGGGTCGGGTCAGCTCCCAAGCCGGTTTCCAAAACAGCCCCTGGCGAAATGCCTGCGCCCATGATCCACTTCACCTGGTGTCTTCACTTCAGAGGGGTGCCCAGTGGTGCGGTGGTTGACAGCCAGGATGCGGAAGGCATACACCACCGCAGGATCCAGCCCACCCAGCTTCTGGTCACGGATGTCGGGGTCAATATCGCTGGCCACGGTTTCCCAGCTGCTGGCCAGCTGCCTCTTAAGGGCCTTTTTGGCTTCCCTCCTTTGGACCACAAAGCCAGTCAGGTTGCCCGAGCCCTGGGTCTGCCATGCCAGCTCCACCTCCGTGCGGTGGCGAGTATACATCAGCTTGCTAATTGTCACATTGGGCGGGGTGGGGTACTCTGCAAAACAGACAAGTATTTCCTTCGTCACTCTTCACGAATGGACCCTTCTGCCGTTCCTCCAAGAAGCCCAGTCCCCACGGCTCTTCCGTACATGCACTCCATGCTCCAAGAGCCCGACCTGGTAGGCTGGGCCGAGAGAGGGCAGTGGAGCCAGGAACTCCCCAGCTGACCTGACCCACGATCTCCTTAGTCTTCGTCCAACAGTCTGGCATTGGAATGCACTGGCTGAACCGGCCTCCCCTTCCGTGACAACATGTGACCTGGGAGAGCTGTCTGATCGATAGTCCGGATTATTATTTTTAGCTCTGACCATTATGAGGTTGTTTGATTTCTAATAAAAGACATTCTTGGCACTTTCCCCATGTGCTTGGTCGATGCCCAAGTCTCTATCCAAGCTGACTTTAGACCCACAGTGTGTGTGTGTGTTGTGGTGGGGGGGGTACACACACAGAGGGAGCAGCACTGCGCCTCTATTTTGTTCTCTTAATAGGAATTTGCACAAAAATCTAGATTAGGAAAATATTAATACAGGGAGGAAAGGCTGCATTCCAGAGCCACTGCCTTGGACAAAGTGTTTTAAAAAATTCCCTGGATCTTGCAGGTCACATGCAACTTGCCCCTTAGGATCCATGCACTGATCCTACCCAGTTTTAGAGCATTTAAATGGGGCTTTGGTGCATTCGCATGGCCTGCAGAAATCTCCTTACTTTTAACCTGCAGGGTGATGGCGGCAGAAGTGTTGCCCACGGCGTTCACGGCTGCACAGCGGTAGATGCCACTGTCTCTCATCCACTCTGTGTCCTGGAGGGTCAGGTTGAACCAGGCCTTCTCCTGATGCAGTCGGTATTTCCTAGCATCTGCTCTAATGACTTGGTTCTTGTTGTTGTACCAGAAGACTTCTGACCCCAGGTAAGCACCTTGGAGGAGACAGGCCAGCTGGGCTTCATTCCCTTCAAAAAGAGTCACCTTGGATCTTTCGACTGCAATCCTGGGAGGTTCTGTGCACAAAAAACCAAAAGCAAAAACACCAGTGCAGAAATTGACAGCTCTCCAAAAGGCCATACTGAGAAATACTCCAGAAGATCATCCCCAGCCAGTCACACTCAGCTACGTGGCCCATCCAGCCTTGTGCTCAAGGCTTCCAGCTACATGGCCCATCCAGCCTCGTGCTCAAGGCTTCTTCCCAGGGCAAGCAGCCTCATGGCACATCATCACTGGGATTGCCAACACTGGCATGGAAAATAGACTCCCCCCCCCCCACAAGCTCCCAGCAGCAAGGATGCTGCGGTCCCGTCACAGACACCACGACCGAGCATGCTCACAGCTTTCATTCACTGCCGCCACCAGGACAGGCCTGGTGGAAGGAAGTGGCCAGCAAGTGAGAGCTTGGGTATTAAAGGGTGAATAGCTTGCGCAGCTCATGAGGGGACTTGGGGGGGCCCACAGGGTTGGAGGAGGAGGTGTTTAGCCTCTCTGCTCTTGCTGGAACTGGGCACTCTGGATCTCAGCTAGAAAAGCAAGCCCCTTAAAAAGGAGATGGGTGGGTTTCCTTTTCTGAACCGAACAGTGAATCAAGCTATGGGAGTCTCCCATCACAGTCTAGCACTCCAGCCAGGGAGAAGCATTTGGGTGTGATAAAAACAGGATGCCGGTGCTGGATCCTGACCCGGGGTTTGGGGCCCAGCTCGAGAAGCCCATCGGTTCGCCTTTCTTTACTCCCTCCAGCCCAGAGGGAGACATGCAGAGCAGGGCCGTTTGTCCAAGAGGCAGGAGTCCTCTCGGGCAGAGGAGGGCCCCTCCCAGGACCTGCAGCCTGGACTGAGCCCGGAGCCCCTGCATGCAGTGGAGCTGCAGCCCCTCCCCACACCGGCTCGTCTCTTACCCAGCCGGATGTGGCACTCGGCAGCCCTTGCCTGAAGAGGGTGAGCAGCCACACAGGTGAATTCCTTGCCTCCCAGAGTAGCGTTGGACTTCATGACGAAGATGTTGTGGGACTGCTTCAGCCCCCCCAGCACGCGGTCCCTCCAGTCTCTCCACCAGAGGGTCACCCGGGGCGCTCCACCTGCCCAGTCACAGGTCAGCATGAGGAACTCGTTCTGCTTTGTCGCCACAGCGCTGCAGGTTGGGCTCCCTCCTGGGACCACTGCGGCACAAACAGCGGGCTCGTTACAGACCAATTCCTCACCATCACGGGCACCAAGGCCTGCTTGAGCAGGGCCAGGGCCGGCATCCAAGGGGGGCGCGGCTGAGCATCCCCTCCTCCGTCGTGGCCCACTGGCAAGACCCCCTTGGAACCGCTCCTCCACTCCACCTGTGCAGCCCCCTGGCTCTGGCCCAGGCAAGCGTGCCGAGAAAGTGGAGCGAGAGGTCCCAGCGCTGCCTCCTCGCTCTCTGCCCGTCAAGCAAGCAAGCGGGAGCAATGCTGAGAAATCGGGGCAGGGGCAGCTGGCGACAATGGTGGTGGAGAGACGGACTCGCCAGTTAAGCTCACATGGCCGGGAAGGGAGATAAGCCACGATGACGGCGACTCCTCCACACAAACACAAAAGTTCATGGGTTCTGGGTGGCTTGCCAAGCCACTCTGCCATGGAGTGGCCACCCGCATTTACACTCCTGCTGCCCAAACCCAGCCGGCCCGGGACAGGCAGAACCTGGGCCAGATCCACCACCCGGTCATGTAGTGCGGTGCACGTCTGTGCTCGAGCAGGAAGCTGCGGGGAAAGATACTCACAGACAGTGCTCTTGCAGACGGCGTCCTCTTGCAGGGCCGGGTGGGAAGCCAGGCATGCGTATGAGCTCCCGTTGTGAACGGCCATGCCCCGATGGATTTGGGTGGCATTGGAGTAGGTGGCCGTGTGGTTTCCCTCCTGCCCGGATTTCACCCACCGCAGCCGCACTGGGGGGAAGCCCCCTGGCCAGGAACAGTGCAGAGCAAGGTCTCGGAAATTGGCCGCCGGCAGCGGCACACAGCTGGGCTTCCCCTTGGGCAGATCTGTGCGTGGGGCAAACATCGTATCAACAGCGATGAGGAGTCACCGGCTCCCAATACATCACGGCGCGTCATGGACTGCAGCCTGGTGCGTCATGACCTCGGGCAAGGAGGATGGCGGCAGAGGCGTGGTGTCCTGCCCAGCTGCTCTTGCATCACGCCCGAGCACCTGCCTGACTCACCTTCTCCAAATCAATCTTGCTGGTGCTTTGTCCACCGTGGTGTCGGCAGAAAGTGACGGGCAGGCATTGCTCCTGCAGGGCCTAGTGTGAGCCTTGTGCACCCACAGCATCCCTGCAGGCAGGTGCAAGCCTGAACCAGCCATACTAACTGAATCAAGGGGGACTGGTGGGTGTCTTTGTCCGCGATATTGCAGCTGAAGGGTTGTAAAGTGGGTGCCCTTTAACGACTGCACCCTAATTAATGGCCAACTGTGATTGCAGCTTCATGGCACAAACCAGAACTCTCTATGAATCTCCTCCATTGTTTCAAAACACAGATAGTGTGAGCTTAAGTGGATCTTCCTAAGCAATCAGGCAGAAGCAACCTAAGTAACCCGGGCAGAATCTGGGGACCGAATGTCTGGGGCACCACACAGTGGAAGGAGCAGGAGGGCCTCCCCGAGCAGGCCAGCATGTCATATTTTGCAGTAAGTGAAATAGTGCACTCAGCCAGTAAGAAGGGCAGCCAGTTAGCCCATTACGTTCAGGGCCTAAAATTGCCTAACTGTCCCATGAAAAGCGTTATTCCCCTAGTTCAGCTTGCTGCAAAATTGCTAGGTGTTTGCTTGTCACCCTTGAAATCTCTGGGTTGCTCGTTGACTAGAAGCAGGAAATTCAGCAGATGACAATCCTCATCCTGTGAATCTGCATACTGGAAAGAGCATCACATACAGAATTTATGAAAACCAACTATCATCAGAGCAGGACTTCTCCGTGGGGGGTGGGAGCTGACCCTCATTTTCTTGCCTCAATTCCTTCTCTCAGAAAGGAAGTAGGGGGATGGCCCACTGCTGGCTGTTAGGAGAGGTTTCTACGTGAAGACAGGGTTCTCTCTGGGCTGGAGCCTTAAAAAACTGTGGGATCTCTCTCCTGCCTCCAGCCCACACGCTGGCAGATCTAGCGGTACAGTTCAACCAAAGCGATTCCCTGTGCCGCTGCCTGTGTGAATTGGCTCTACCTTTCCCTGGTGCAAATAGAGGGTCATGAAGTTTGTGCTTGATGCAGGACCAGGCTGGGAATTCCTAAGCAGACTGAGATCGGTAGGAGCAGCATTAAGGGTAGGCAAGGCTGGGCACCTCTCATGGGCCCCACCCTGCCGAGAGGAGCCTTGCTGTTCCTCTTCTCCATTGCAGGATAGTTCTTCTCTCGCCTATGGCCCAGACAGCAGAATCGGTGAGAAGGAGCAGCAGTAGAGGCCTTGTTCTCTTTGCTCACTGGCTGCCTGCCGGTCAAGCAAGAAGATGGTGGCAAAGATGGGAAAGGCAATGATAGTGGAGATGAAGAGCCGGACTCCCTGAGGAAGGGGGTCCATTGGCAGTGTCTTCCCCCAGTCCTGGAGACAGCACTGTAGGTCAGTCTTGCAACAGACATCAATTCCTCTCTTGGGTCAGACATAAAACATTGTGAAGAAGAGTCCCTTTCAGACAACCTGGAACAGTGTTAATTGCTTACAACAGCATCTATAACAAACCCTTTCAATCACCAGTAAAGTACTGGACCCATTCTCCAAGGCCATTCAACAATAACTGCAGTGACATAGTAATCTTTCCTCTCCCTCCTTCATTTCTCTTTTGCAAAGAGGGACAAATTAGAAGCACTGACCAGAAAGAACAAAGCAAAGGTGGCTTTGGCCTAGGTTCAGAAAGCAGAAATACTGCAGCTGAAGAGCAAGATAGGGTGACACTTCCATCATTTCCTCCATTACTATGTGAGGAACAGCAGCATCCTTGGCTCTTTTCCGCGATAAAGAGAACATTTGCTTCATTTTTTGACCATCATTCATCAGGGCCATCAAAGATGGAACCCTCTCTTGGCACCTGCTCCCACTGAAGCCCAACCCTGATTTTTTGTTGATTTTTTCCCCCTCCTTTTCTCCTCTTCAGCTACATCAGGGAGATAATATTCAGAAAGGCAGAAGGAAACAAAATACAGAGGACAAAGGGAAAGAGGTTGCAATACCGCATGCCAGCACCTCACGCCCAGACAAGGTGGGGAAAGGGTCGCTTACAGTAGACGGTCAAGGTGATGGCGGTCTGGGTGCGTGTGTTGAGGTGCAGGTTTTGGGCCAGGCATGTGTAGATGCCCGTCTGGGTCCGGGAGATCCTGGTGATCACGTACTTCTGGCCTGAGTAGACCTGGGAGCTGTTGTAGAACCAGATGTAGTGGCTGGGTGGATTAGAGGGCGCCAGGCAAGTCATGATCACCTCTTCCTGCTCGTTGGCCAGGAAGCCGTGCTGGTTAATGGCAAAGGGCTCCACGCTGATCACGGGCTCATCGGGTCCATCTGCAGGACAGCGATAGCACTAGTCAGTGGTGTTCAAGCGGCAGAGCCAGGGAAGCCTCCGGGTGATCTCTTCTGACAGTGAAATATTCAGTGCATGATTTAGCAGCAGGAATTTAAAACCAGGAAAGTGATTTCCTGGTTCTAAAATCCTGATAAAAGCCAAAATGTGGGTTTTTAAAAGGAATATGAAAGCAAGCAAATTAATGTAAAAGGCAGCAATGAAGGAAGCAATGGAACCCACCCAAATCAAAAGCCACTCTGGCAGCCAGCCAGCTCACATGGTGAAGTCTGGCTGGCCCAAAGAGGCATGCGCTTGCCTGCCAGCAGAAGGAGGGGCGCCTGGCCTCCTGGCAGGGGTTCTAGGGCCTGGGAGGGCCTACCAAGCTGCCCCCACTTGCACTGCCAGCAAAAGGGCCACCGATGCTGGTGTTGCTGGGAAGGGGCCGCCTTCAACTTTCCTACAACCCATGGAGGCTCAAAGAGGAGAAGAGGGCTTCATAGCAAGGATACTCAGAGCACGTCTGTCACTCTAGCAGAAGCCCACTTTAAGCCAGTGCCGCCGGCATGCCTTCCGCGCACACCCCAAAATCCTGGGAACAGCTGTTTCATGAGATATCTGTGACCCCCTTGCCGTGCTTCCCACCCTGTGCCCTCCTGACGTCTCAGGCCGCAACCTGCTTTGGCCCAGCCAACGTGCTCCGTTGTCTGCTTCTATGCCAAAATTAAAATATTGGAAGGCTTGATTGGATTCCTTGTTTGGACCTTCAGTGCCCTTAAATCCTCCATAGGACCTGGAAGGACACACAGAAAGCTGGCCATGAACAGAGAAGACAGAACACCTGGCCTGGTGGTTCAGTTACTGGCATTCAATCATTTCTTCAAAAGTTGTTTTTATACTTTCTGTCACATACATGGCACCTATCCAAACACTTAACGGTAGCAAAATGACAATGAACATATAAATTTGGCTAAAACAATACCTAGGCTACAAAACCAGCGGCCGTGATTTTTTAAAAAAAAATAAAAAAATGCTGGGGTTACTTACAGATGACATCAAGATACATTCTGTCACTGGTTTGGCTGTTGACTTCGTTTTGGGCGGTGCAGGTGTACCAGCCCATGTGAGTTCGGTTAGCTGCTGTCAGGTTCAACAGGCCACCCGCGGTCTCCATGACGGCTGATGTGCCATCCCGATTGGTGTGGCGGTGCCAGGAATATTCGACAGGATGCGTCCCTTCTTTCACTGTACAAGCCATCACGACAGTCATGCCTTCCACAGGTGTTGAATTGTTCATCTGTAGGAAGGGCTTTGAAACAGGAACTGGGAAAGATCAGACATAATTCTCAGCTGCACTGCTTCCCTTACCAGATACCTGCAGACTCAATGAAGTCAGTATGTACTCAATGAAGACTTTTTCAAAATTGCCCTTTTTTCAATGGGATTTTAGCCCTATATTAGGGTTAGGGGTGTGC